TATAGGCAGAACCATTCATATAACATATCTGACTATCCTTATAGGCAGAACCATTCACATAACATCAGACTATTCCTATAGGCAGAACCATTCATAAAACTTCTGCTTACTCCCACAGGAATAACCTTTCACATGACCTCTGACTATTCCTATAGAGTATAGACAGAACCATTCATATAACCTCTGACTTATCCCCATAGGAATAACCATTCCCCGGAGAAAACAATACAATTCAAAATGGAGACAAGAAAGGAATCTGTTCAGGAAAGTCTTTGAGGCTATTTTCTTGGTGCAGATTTTCAAAATTCTTTGTTCGGTACGCCTTGCCTTTGTGAACCAGACTTGAATTTATCACGTTCAGGGAATTGAGCCTGTCTCTAGACAGCCCAGGCCATATACTTTCAAAACTCGCTAAGTGAACGTAAGTACTTACGCTCTATTTTCTTGTCTATGATTGGAGGATTTTGCTCGCAAGGTCGTCAATGATTGGCTGATGAACTTACGATCTCTTAACTTTTTCTGAAAGTATAGGCCCAGGATGGCAGTAAATAAGGTGTTATTTCCAGCAGAAATTTCGATTTAAGTCAACGTTCGAACTCATGTTAATAAAATCCTGCAATTTTAATTGTGAACATTTATTTTTTATGGCTGTTATTTTGGGTATAAGTGTGTTAGATAATTTGTTAAACGATTTATCGTCCAGGTTCATAGTTTATATGAATTCATGATCTATAAAGCCTAACAATAATTCATAGTATATAATAATTATATTTTACGCCCGTTTTAATCCACTGGGTGGTTTAATATTTTTTTGTCTAGACAATAGACACGCGGTCGACGACTTGAAAGTTTCATGCCTAATTTATAATTATAACGTTCATTATTAAAAACTTGATTGAGGGAATAAACGTCAGGGTAATTGTTTCGATCTCTCACACAATTTACAAGCAAAAAAACAACCGAGCACATTTAAGAGCCTGCATTCCATGTTTCCTAAAGCTATTGATGTGTCCAGTAGTCATACATTTCCGACTAGCAAATATTTTTGACCAGCAAAACTGATTTGTAAATATTTTTTCAGACACAACACAATATGAATGATAAGGCTCTTAGAACAATTTACGTATCAATTTATTTAATATTTATCTCTATGATTACATCACCCATCATTTTGGTTTATTTTTTACGAAGTGAAGAAATTCCCGACAAACATGTTAATAATTACGAATGAATGCGGTGGTCGGGGCGGTGATCAAGATAGGCCGACCAACGCACAGGAAAGACGTCTTGCATCTTTCCTGTGCCTTGATTAAATGGAAAGACAAAGCTGACATGAGCTGTTAAGACAAAGCTGACATGAGCTGGAAAGACAAAGCTGACATGAGCTGGAAAGACAAAGCTGACATGAGCTGGAAAGACAAAGCTGACATGAGCTGGAAAGACAAAGAAACTTCCACTGACCAACATAGCGATCGGTCGGCCGCTCTACCTTCTTCATGAGCCAGACTTCAGAGCACTCGCTCACACACTTCACACAGGCATCACACATGATGCCAATCATCGGACCACAAACACACCACACGCATGCACCGCAGAGACACCACACGCACGCACCACACAGGACCAGTCGCACGCACCACACACAGGCACCACACGTACGTACCACACAGACACAACATGCACGCACCACATACACGTACCACACACAGAAACCACGCGCACATATAATTAATCGCGCACGCATCACACAAAGGCACCACACGCATGAACAACACACAGACACCACGCGCACGCACCACACAGACTGTCACTATTCTGGAGGTCCCACTCTCAAAGTTGGGAGCCAGTCCGTTTATCATCCTATGATCTTCCAAGTGTACAGTATGATATACCTTTCTCTTCTCCTCTCCAGTGAGTACAGTTCCAGGTGTTTCAGCCTTCCCCAGGAGTCAAGCTTCAGTTCCTTCATACTACTGATCCTGTACGTGAAGGTCCGCTGGACTGACTACAGTTTCCGCACCGGTTAAGGTCACAGATCTGTAATTTTGGAGTTTTTCTCTCTGATCTCCTTTGTGGATTGGCGTTAACAGTCCCACTTTGAGTCCGTCAGTAAGAATTCCTTCCATCAATGAGGTTTTCCAGAGCGTTGTAAGCGTCTTTTCCAATGCTCCGAAACAACATTTAATCTGATTAGGTAGCATATGTGCCATAAAATTTACACGGAAAACATAATTATTTTTAAATGTGATATTACTAAAATATTTGACCGTATAAAGTTGTTCGTGCAACATAATGTTCACACGGAAGACATATTAATTTTTAAATGCGATATTACTAAAATATTTGACCGTATAAAGTTGTTCGTGCAACATAATGTTCACACGGAAGACACATTAATTTTTAAAGACGATATTACAAAAATATTTGACCGTATAAAGTTGTTCATGCAACATAATGTTCACACGGAAGACATATTAATTTCGTTGGCACAATAACCGGTTAGTCGTCATGACATATACTAAAATTTATGCATGTAAGGCACACAAGTTTCAAGCGTGAGCAATGATCGTTACTATTGATATGCTTCGTAATTTATTAATCGAAGTTACGCCATTGGATAGAATTCTCGACAATTATTATTACGGCACATAAATTGGTTAATGGGGCGATCTATAAGATTGGTTAATGGGGCGATCTATAAGATTGGTTAATGGGGCGATCTATAAGATTGGTTAATGGGGCGATCTATAAGATTGGTTAATGGGGCGATCTATAAGATTGGTTAATGGGGCGATCTATAAGATTGGTTAATGGGG